CTTCCTTTCTTTCCTTCTTCCTTCCTTCCTTTCTTTCTTTCTTTCTTTCTTTCTTTCTTTCTTTCTTTCTTTCTTTCTTTCTTTCTTTCTTTCTTTCTTTCTTCTTTCTTTCTTTCTTTCTTTCTCTCTCTCTTTCTTCTTTCTTTCTTCTTCCCTTCCTTCCTTTCTTCCTTCCTCCCTCCCTCCCTCCCTTCCTTCCTTCCTTCTCTCTCTCTCTCTCTTTCTTTCTTCTTTCTTTTTTTTCTGAGACAGAGTTTCTCACTTGTTGCCTAGGCTGGAGTACAAAAGTGCAATCTCAGCTCAATGCAACCTCCACCTCCTGGGTTCAAGCGATTCTCCTGCTTCAGCCTCCCGAGTAGCTGGGATTACAGGCACATGCCATCATGTCTGGCTAATTTTTATATTTTTTAGTAGACATGGGGTTTCACCATGTTGGCCAGGCTGGTCTTGAACTCCTGACCTCAGGTGATCTGCCTGCTTAGACCTTCCAAAGTTCTGGGATTACAAGCATGAGCCACCACACCCTGCAAAAGTGGAGCCTTTCTGATTCTCACATATTTACTCAACTTTCAGTACTCATTCTTGGAACACAGTGGAACATCTTTTGCTCATAAAGTAAAATGAAGTTATTATCCCCAAGAACAGAGGTGCCCTGGGCCACTAGAGTAAACCTTGGAATGCAGGCTGGCCAGGCAGAGCAATTCATCAAACTGTGTGGAGTTTCTTTAAAATTAATGACAACATAAGTTTGTGGGACAGAATATATATACCTTTTTCTGGGGTCTTAATACATTTTGGAAGTAACTCTTTATGGAAATTAAAGGATATGACATTATCCTGGGCATCTTTTAAAGGAATTTGAGGCCACTAATGAATTACATTTTGTGTCCTATATAAGGGGCAGTGTCCTGAGAGGAAAATCTTTGTGGTGGTAACCCATACATTGTATAAATATCATTGGAAAAACACAAATAAACAAATTTGAGATTAAAGCTAGCTCTGTATTTTCAGAAAAGCCTAAAGTTCAGCTACTTAGGTATTTGCAAAGTTATTTTGAGAATAATAAATAGAAAACCAGAAAAATTTGAAAATACAATGCATGATTATACTTTAACACACATATTTATGGCCCACGTCACTTTTCCTCATGTGTTTTATTTACATTTTTAATTTTTATGGGTACATGGTAGGTGTATATATTTCGGGGTATATAAGATATTTTGATACAGGCATGCAACGTGTATCCTTCTGTGTTTTTAACTTGAAAAAAAGACAAACCACCAACTTCAGTGGAATATTCTAAAATGAGAACAGCTAACATCTCCAGCAAACCACCTGGCATTGCCGTCATTCTGATAGTTGTATAGAAAGTTGTACTTTGGAAATGATGGAATAATTAATGTTCCAGAATTTTAAAGGCAGGACCAATTAAAAATTTAAAAAGTACTTGATATACTTCAAACATTCTTGTAATCTTATTTGAAAACATGTATCATCACCATCGCACCCATAAATAAGTACTGCTTATCAAATTTCATGGATTAGTGCGTGCCAGGCCAGTAATGGGAAAAATGCTCTGGGGTATTAACAAAGTTTTCTTTCTCTTAAATTCCTTGCAATTTCTGCCACTTTTCCTATTTCACACAGCCAGAATTTCCCACTTTAACTGCATGAAAGGGATGACACAGAGGTTTACAGATAATAAGGGAGTCAAATTTCTTGGTATTTGATTTTTAAATGCTTAAATTTGATCACTGACAATTGATTTGGAAAACCACAAAAGAGAACAGCTGAGCTTTGCTGTTCTCAGACTGAACAAAAACCTTGTACCAGAAAGAGAGAGTGGAGGGGTCTTTCTTCCTTCCTTCTTCCTTGGGCTGCATCTAGGGGAAACCACACATTTCCCATATTGGTTTCTGGGCTCTGGGGCAGGGGTAGCCTGATATCCTTTGCTAAGTAGAGGCCATACGTATGGCAGGACCCACAGAATTACTGCACACTCTGGCTTGACATGGGAATAGCAGAGTAGAAATGGCCATAAGGGCCTAGGCAGATGGACTGAAATATGAGCTTGAAAGTTCTCCTGGGCTCAGCCTGGCTCAGGAGTACTAAATGTTTCCTGTGAGCCCCAGAATGCCACAGATGTAGGCAGGAGTGGCACTGGATGTGGAAGGGCCTAAGACAGGCAGGAGATGACAGAGTGGTGACTTATGGCAGAGGACCAGATAGATTTATGCACATCTTAGAGGATGCTGCTATCCTTAGCTGATAACAGACAACCAGATCCCCTACACAATGTCCCGGCACACAGAGATTGTTGAGCTCAATTGCAATCCCAAGTGAAGGAAAATGAATTAGACCTTTAACTGCCTTGGTTTAGACTTCTACCACTTCGAAGAACGGAGACTTGTAGCATAAATTAACTTTGGCCACAGAAAAATAAAGATTTACATTTCTTACTCACTTGAGAAGTTGAGCTGATTGCCATGTCTGCTGCTATCGTTTGGATGTTTGTTCCCACCCAACCCCATGTTGAAATTTAATCCCCAATGTGGTGGTATTAGGAGTATTGGGAGGTGGGTCCTAGTTTGGATCACAATTGTGGGTCACTCATGAATAGATTAATGCTGTCCCTTGAAGGTGAATGACTTCTCTCTCACTCTATTGGTTCAAAAGAGAGTTAGCTGTTAAAAAGAGCCTGGTACTACCCCTTCTCTCTCCTGCTTCCTCTCTCCCATGTAATCTCTGCACACACTGGCTCCCCTCTGCCTTCTGCGATGAGTGGAAGCAGCTGAGCCCTCACCAGAAGCTGAGCAGATGCTGGCACCCTGCTTTTTGTACAGGAAGCAGAACTATAAGCCAAAGAAACCTCTTTGGTTCATAAACTACCCAGCCACAACCATTCCTTTAAAACAATGCAAAACAGACATCCACCATGCGTAGCACAGTGAATCAATATCCCCATCTTTAAAGGGAGCAAAAATTGTACGTTTCTCTTGGATTGCCATGAAGATTAAATGAAGTAAAATGTAGAAAGCACTCAAAATGGAAATACTATTATACTTGCCATTTTAGGTTTGGAAGTTCATCTAATCTCTTATATATGATATTTTAAAAGGAAAGTTAAAATAA